ACCTCCTCCTCCTGCAGGGATAGGCTAGATGAACCGATCAAGTTGCATTCTGCTGTTGAAACACCCTTCCTCGTTCTTGGGGTTCTTGCCCTTGGTGGGGGGAAGATCGACTGGCGATGGCAAGTAGTCGCAGACGGCATCCAGCAACGGCTGCACACCCTTGTTCTTGAAGGCGGTTCCGCAAAGCACTGGCACCAGGCTGAATGTCAGGGTTCCTTTGCGGATGCACTTCTTGAGATCTTCCAGAGATGGTGGCTCGCCAGACTCGAGGTAAGCCTCCAGAACCTCTTCGTCCTGCTCCACCGCCTTCTCAATGAGGTTCTCACGCCACTTCTCAACCTCTTCTTCCATGCCCTCCGGGATGTCATCTGTCACGTCATACTTCGCGCCGAGCTCCCCACCAGTCCAGATCATTGATTTCATCTCCACCAGATCGAAGACACCCTTGAAGCTGGCGCCCTTTCCGATGGGAAGCTGGATGGGGACAGGATTTGTGCCGAGCTGGTCCACCATCATTTGCACATCCTTGAAGAAGTCCGCGCCCTCGCGGTCCATCTTGTTCACAAAGCACATTCGCGGCACCTTGTACTTGTCGGCCTGGCGCCAAACGGTCTCGCTCTGCGGCTCGACACCTGCCACGCCGTCGAAAACAGCCACGGCACCGTCGAGCACTCGGAGAGATCGCTCCACTTCCAGGGTGAAGTCCACGTGACCTGGTGTGTCCACGATGTTGATCCGGTGTCCATCCCAGAAAGCCGTGGTTGCTGCGCTTGTGATGGTGATTCCTCGCTCCTGCTCCTGCTCCATCCAGTCCATGGTGGCCTGCCCTTCGTGCACTTCACCGATGTTCTTCTCGCGACCTGTGTAGTAGAGGATACGCTCCGTCGTCGTGGTCTTTCCAGCATCGATGTGGGCCATGATCCCGATGTTGCGATACTTGGTCAGTGGAATGCTTCCCTCCTTGCCGCCCACCTGCTTCAGCTGGTCCAGGGTTGAGGCACGCATCGCCACTTGCTGTCGTGCCGATGTGCGACGGCGCTGGCGGCCGACGGTGCGTGCAGCCAGAGCCACAGCCACCGAGGCCACGGCGGGGCCAGCATAGCCAGTGCCGGAAGCTTTGGGGCTCGGGGAGACCGGTGCAGTGTGGATCTGCCTTGCCACTCCCGCTTCTTGGAGGGCAGGCGCTACGAAAGCCACGCTGTTTGCCATGTCCACCCTGC